CCAATGTGATTTTGATCAGAAATGTTGCATTTAAATCATTCTATATAGGTTCTATCAGATCACGGCAATTCTGCATTCTCCAAATTGCGTTTCAAGATATACTTAGTCAGTTTCAGCTTCGAGGCATGTAATGTGCAACCCCCCCCCATTTCTCTACAAATTTAGCCTTTTTGAGAAAATGGTTTTCAGTGTGGTTATATACGCCACTTTCTGATTGCCACCACCATATTACTTTGATTACATCGTGACTTCTGCAAAAAAGCATTGAGCGCTTGTGGAGTAAGGCATATACCGTAAACCTCCGACTATAAGCCCTGGGCTTATATACTTTCGTAAGCGATTTTTGATGGGCTTATACAAGGGGGTGAGCTTATATACGGGTGGGCTTATACATGGACGATCTTTTGTGTTAGTATAATAAACAAGTCAGTCATAAACAGCAAAATAAACGTGTATTAAGCAGCGATTACTGCATGGGCTTATATTATTGGGGGACATATATTCGGGGGGCTTATATTCGGGTGGGTTTATATTCGGGGGGGGGAGGGGGCTTATATTTGGAATGATGTGAACGCACTGAGCGTTAGTACATGTGTTGGGCTTATATTCGGGGGAGGGGGGGCTTATAGTCGGAGGTTTACGGTACCTTCGGACTCGAAATATTTCGGACTCGGACTTGAGAAGTTTCGACTTAAATGGACTCGTACTCGGTTGTGAACTCGACTACAGCCTGACTGACCCCTACTCTAACCCCCAGTAATCCTAACTGCAACCATAACTCTAACCCTAACCCTAACCTTTACCGAATTGATAAAAAAAATCCAAAAAGAAACGACCTTAGAAAATCGATTGGACGGTTTGCTCTTTCTTTCTTTTTTTTTCACTTTGTAATGCGAACATTTTCGGCATAGTACAAAACATGGACTGGACCCAAAATTGGACCCTAAATTGGACTCAAAATTGGACTCAAAATTGGACCCAAAATTGGACTCAAAATTTTAGCCAAAATTTTGCCCAAAAATTCATTATTTTATCGGAGAGAAACAACCTTCAGAATATCGTGCATTTATTTAATTTGTATAGGCAGAAAACTTCACGTTCCATCACTTTTCCTTGACCTATCTAGCTATTTGTCTTCCAAAATTCTATATTCTATTTTCTAAACGTTATCTAGGGTATCTCGTAAATAATAAACCTTTGTGAAATATCTTTGCGCAATGGTCACAAATACATCACATCGATATAAATCATTCCATCAATATATACATCAATATATAGTTATTTTATACATTTTGTGTCTGTATAAGGCCACATAAAAAAAAATAGTTGGTTAGCGTCCCCGCCCGCCCACAAAAAAGGCCCCGCTCAGGATTTTTTTAAATTTTTTATTTAAAAAAACCCCCGACTTTTATTGATCAACGGGCTCTAATATATGTCGTATTTTTGTTGACTGTAGTCAATTGTGTTAATAATTTGCGAAATTGCGTGCGAAAATGACGGTATGAATTATGTTTTGAAATATATAAAAAAATATCTGTACTGCGCAAGAAAATCCAGTTTCGGACCTAACAGTGAGTAAAACCAAGGCGTTAAAAATTAGTAAAAATTAAAAAAAAGCGCCCGCCCGCCCACTTTTTGGCAAAAGCTAAGGACGCTAACCAACTATTTTTTTTTATGTGGCCTAATACGCCCTCTATATATTCCGGCATATATATCCTCTAACGAGTAACAAGTAACGAGTTCGCAAAGTTTATTTTGTCCATATATTCTAATATTTATTGCAACTAGCTCTTTGTGGGCTTATCATTATGCACATATTGTATTTCCCTTTGTCAAATATAGACGTGTCACTCGTATATCGCTGAGGATGGTTCTGAAATAGAATTGAAACACTGCGCGTTAAGACAAGCGTTAGTCGTCACGAAAATATTTCGTGCACTTAAATTGGATAAGACTCGCTACCAATCCCTGTTGACTCGATAGCTCAATAGGTAGAGCGGCGGTCTAGATACCCGAAGATGCGATTTCAAATCCCGCTCGAGCCAACGAATTTTTCGTTGCTCGATTGCAGTGTCAGATTAATATGAAACTAGTTTTTCGTATCTCTGAGGATGGTTCTGAAATACAATATGTGCATAATGATAAGCCCACATATAGCCAGTTGCGATAAATATTAGAATTGGACAAAACAAACTTTGCGAACTCGTTACTCGTTAGAGGATATATATGCCGGAATATATAGAGGGTGTATATTATACAGACACAAAATGTATATAATTAGAATGACTATATATTGATGTATATATTTATGGAATGATTTATATCGACGTGATGTATTTGTGACCATTGGGCAAAGATATTTCACAAAGGTTTATTATTTACAAGGTACCCTAGATAGCGTTTAGAAAATAGAATATAGAATTTTTGAAGACAAATAGCTAGATAGGTCAAGGAAAAGTGATGGAACGTGAAGTTTTTTGCCTATACAAATTAAATCAAAGCACGATATTCTGAGGGTTGTTTCTCTCCGAAAAAAATAATGGATTTTTGGGCAAAATTTTGGGTCCAATTTTGAGTCCAATTTTGGGTCCATGGGTCCAGTCCATGTTTTGTACTATGCCAACATTTTCCTATTATTTATTAACTTTACAATCATGCAAAAAATATAACAATGATTGAAGGTATGGTCAACAGGACATGAGTCCCATGTAAAGACCAACCTGATACAATACAATAAGTAGACATACATTAAAGACAAGGACTAGAACACTATTTACATAGCTATATAAAAATTAATAGTTTAGATTATGAGCAACAGCTTAAGTTGAAAGAACGGCATTTAGAGCAGTAGGTTTTCCAAGTGCGCATTCTGTTAACATCGAAAGAAGAGTCTAATTATGAGTCTAATTATATTTGACACTTTAAAAGTGAGTTTAGGTTTTTGTCGAGGGTCGAGTGTCGAGGGTCCAATGTCGAGGGTGAGGGTAAAAAGTCGAGGGTGAGGGTAAAAAGTCGAGGGTGAGGGTAAAAAGTCGAGGGTGTGGGTAAAAAGTCGAGGGTCATATACAAAAGTCGAGGGTTGTATTTTTACGACAACTAAGACAACTACTAACGATAAAAGAGTTTTTAAAACGGTTTTTCTCCTTATGTAAATCATGAATTAAGGGAGAATTCTGGTCTAGAAACTAACTCATTAAGTTGATGGTTTGGGTCGTCTGGTTAAAAAGTTTCACGCACGCAGCATGTCTTCTAGCGTGTAATGTCTCCAGGCCACTTTTGATTAACTTAAGGCATTCTTAGTAAAAAGGCGGAGTTTTTTCATTAAAAGCAAAGTTAAAGAGTATTTACTATCAATATTAACTTAAAAGAATTTCTAAACGTAGTATAATTTCATAAACAGGCCAATGGCAATGTTCAACCTCGCATCAAGCAAAGGCCTCCGTCCCGCCGCACTGGTGTGGAGACCCTTGCTTGCGAGGTTGGTCAATGACAATGTTTGGCCGTAAGACGAGTAATATTGACTTAATCACTTAGCGTTCATTTTGTTTCTTGAAACACTGAGTGGCATGTCTGCACCGCGCTAACCACGCTCCGATCTAGCAGAAAACACACAAGTTTTTTAATCATAATTTGCCATTGGTAATATATTTTGCCTTAATATATTGTCATTACTGGCTTGAGGATTACAGTTACCCGATAATCTATGCTGTTACGTTAATTTGATAAGAAAGCAAAGAGACCGTTCTCATATTAGACATAAACATGTTAACTAGCGAGCGTGACTAAGAGTTAGAGCGTGAAGTTAATGTAGTTCTGCATACATATATATGATAAATCCATGTCACAACATTAAACAAGTTATTTTGCCCGCAAATTTCGACCCCCGACTTTTTTTATGACCCTCGACTTTTTTTATGACCCTCGACTTTTTACCCTCACCCTCGACTTTTTACCCTGACCCTCGACTTTTTACCCTCGCCCTCGACATTGGACCCTCGACACTCGACCCTCGACAAAAACCTAAACTCTTTAAAAGTGCATCTTTACTTATTACTGCAATACAACACCTCAAGCTGTCCGCATTTAAGTGAAGTTATTAGTGAAGTAGCAGACTATAGTTCGAGTGGGTTTGACACACATTTATATGTTTTCCAGAGCTCAAGCTTCAAAGTGATTCAATGATTATAATACTAGATAGATTTCCGATGCGATGTTTTGTCCTTTAGGTCAATTTCAGTATCTATACAATCCTGCACAAAAATGATTGTGGATAGCGCGCGGAATATACATTCAGAGTAACATCACAAAAATCATATTACTAGATTACATTGGTATCGAAGGAACTAGATTCTGTTCCGAAATATCACTTACTCGAACCGTCCTGACCGCGTAGCTCAGATCACTTACTCGAACCGTCCTGACCGCGTAGCTCAGTTGGCAGAGCATTGGGCTAGTATTCCAAAGGTCGTAGGTTCGATTCCCACCGTGGCCGGGCATATTTTTCAAGCTCGCCCGGTGTGGATATACACTCAGAGTAACATCACAAACATCATATTCACTTGAGTACACAACACCAGCACAGAAAAAAATAATATAAATTTCTGCCAATACATCCATGCAAAAACAGTAATTTTTTACTTCTTCCTCCCCCCGGTTTAATGCCGAAAGCGTGTAAATTGGCTTGATATACACCTTTTGAAATGCATGTGTTGAAAAAACCAACATTAACTTCATGATGTTGGGCCGACATATTTCCCGTTCAAACGCGCATATACAATATATAATATACATTACACTTACCCCTATTCACACGTGTAGTTTTCGATTTCAAGATTTGTTGGGTGTGGATATCTTTCGACCGGCTCTCACCAAAGTCTGTAAGCTTACAAATAAGCGGCTTAATTGTAATCATACGTTCGATATTCCCTTGATCTTTTAGGTGACTATAAAAGGCCGGTTTACACGACAAGCGTTTTGGGCACGGCACCCCTGAAAATGGGCACCGTGCCAAAACCGCCACTTCGCTATTTACTCGTTTACACGACAACATTTTCTAAACACACTTTTATGATAGGCACCGTGCCCATCGGAAAACGGCACCTCTACTTTCCGTTTACGACAGTATATTTTAAAGAATAAATATGTCGGACAGAAATAGAATTATATATTTATATTTATTGGAACGAAGAAGAGTATTATATGAGCCGAAATTCGAGGGAAAAAGCCAATTCAATACTAGAAAAGTACTTTAAGGCTAGTAAGGCTCATATGGGCAAAAGTTATCCCGGTTCACAGTAGCGATCGGGGTTAGCGGAAAGTTATCTCGGTTAGCGGTTCGACAAGTTTACAAGCGAGATCTTGCCTTGGTATGAAAATAATATGAAAAGTTACACTGCGTTCATATGAGACAAAAAGTTTTCCCGTGTACCGAGATCTCGCTTGTTGACAAGCCAAATCTCGGTGACCGGAATAATGTTTTTCCCATATGCATGAACACAACTTTACCGCTTAGCGGGATACTGACTTTCTGTCGTATCAGCATCTTTTCAATTCAATTGATATTCAGTGTGTGCCCATCGGAAAACGGCACCTCTATTTTCCGTTTACGACGGTATATTTTAAAGAATAAACTATACTAGGAACGTACTTCAAGGGCCAGTTCATATGGGCAAAAGTTATCCTGGTTAGTGAAAAAACTTTTCGAAACGTTTACAAGCGAGATCTCGCCTTGGTATGAAAATAATATGAAAAGTTTGTTTACACTGCGTTCATATAATACAAAACGTTTTCCCGTGTATGTACCGAGATCTCGCTTGTCGAGTGATATCGTTTTTCCCATATGAACACAACTCTAGTTCCTGCTTGGCAGGATAGCTTTCTGTCGTGTCAGTACTGACTTTTCAGTTCAATATCAATTCTGCTATGTCACAGCCGGAAACTTTACCCGGTAAGCGGAATAACATTTCTCCATGCATGTGGACAGAACAAAAGTATATTTGGCTAGTCGAAACGTTTTCTCGTCAACCGAAATAACCTTTGCCCATATGAACAGGCCCTTTAAGACGAAAGGGGTTGTTTTCTCGCATAAATTTTGTGCCATCTTGTATTCACCCGCCACGATTTCGAGAGGTATGGACGCATCGAACGACAGCTATTTGCTACGACCTAGCTAGTTACTGCTCTCTTCAGCGACGAACAGTGGTATAAAAAATTCCGAGTCAACTAGAGCAACATTCACATTCAGTGTTATTTAAATTTGTTTTTTTACCTTGTTTTTTTTTATTTTTGGCAAGTTGTAGTTTTTCCCCGCTTGCTGCCATGTTGGAAAGAAGACAATTTGTTTTGCGCATGCTCGATGTCGAACATATTTTTTATTTTTTTCGAAATTTGGGCACGGCACCCCTTGCTAGACGTGCCGAGACTACCTCGTGAGAAAGTCTCGGCACGTTTAAATTTTGCGGCACCGGTGCCGATTATTGTCACGTTTACACGCCAAAAGGCAGAGGTGCCGTGCCTAAAATTTTGGGCACGGGTGCCCATTTTTAGGGGTGCCGTGCCCAAAACACTGGTCGTGTAAACCGGCCTTATAATAGTGGTTAGACACCAAAATATTTTCAGGTTTCAAATCACGATGGGCAATACTATTATTATGCAGGTACTTCAAACCCGACGCAACGTCCAAAGCAGCGTGAACGAAAACAGAACTATGCATTCCATCACAATCGGATTGGTCGAAAACCGCTAGAAAATCTGAAAGAGAATTTACTTTGATGTCGTATCCAATTGGAGCAAAGTCAAATTGAACATGTTCAAGGATTAAAGCATACTGGTCGACACAAATTCCTTTGAATTGAACTACGTTCACATGATGTAGTTTTGAAAGAAGCCGCGCTTCTTTAATTAACGATTGTCTCCCCTCATGGCTGGAGTCTAGCAGCTTCTTGACAACGAATGTTCTATTGTTCTCGGGCAACTTTGCTGTAAAGACCACCGCCAATCCGCCAATACCAATTTCTTCTTTGTCGACAAGAGTTTTGTAAGAGTACTGCGGCAATCCAGATATATTTACGTACTGGCCAGTAGTGGCCTTGGGTACTTTACGTAAATTACCAAAAAAAGACATCTTTCGTTTTATATTTTTTAACCATCCCTTAGGCAGTCGGCACAAAAAGAAAGCTTTTACACTCGGAGTGCTGAAGTCAGGTGTGAGTGTAATTCTATCTGGCAAGAAATTCACCAGTTGCTTGTGAAACATGTTTCCGCGGCGCTAACTGTTCATGAAGATTAAAGAGAAACGCATTTCCGCCTGCCATGATTATTAACACTAAATTGTAATTTTAGAACTCTTATCTCGCAGTAAGTATTTAAGCGAAGAGACATTGATTTTTATTAGTTCAAATTCTATGACAATTTTCAATATTCTTTACACGTATAGATATGCCCTTATAAAACGTTCTTTTGCCCATATCCGCGTTTTATCTTTTTGTATAAAACGTAGATATGACTGTTAAATGACATTTTGTGAGAAATTTAAACCATCTGTATGAAAGTGGCAATCGTAATTCGCGTTTGCCTAGAAGTAGGTAGTACGGAAATTGTCATATCTTAACGCGAATTTTAGGTATATTTAAACTGATAACTGCATTAAAAAGTCCTTGGAAAACAGCACATTGCTATTGGCATAAAATTGGATTACTAAATGCCCAGATAACTGAGAAAATTATGCAATTGTAGCTAATTTGCTTCGCGTAAAAGTTGACCATACGGAATTTGTCTTATCTTAAAGGCAATTTTAGATATATTTAAACCGATAACTGCATTGAAAAGCCCTTGGAAAACAGCACATTACATTGGCATAAAATTAGGTTACTACAGGCCCAGATAACAGAGAAAATTAAGCATGAAAGTTGCAATTGTAATTTGCGTTAACGTAAATTAACGTAGACCGTATACGGAGATTGTCATATCTTAACGGGAATTGTAGGTATATTTAAACCGATATGATAACTGCATTGACATGAAAGCCTTTGAAAAACAGCACATTACTGATTGGCATAAAATTGGAGTACTATACATACCAGATAACTAATACTGAATTAAAACTTTATTATCTCGCTGTAAGATATTGGTTTTTATTTGTTCAAATTCTAGGACAATAATTAATATTCTTAATACATATAGATATACCCTTATAAAACGTTCTTTTGACCATATCCGCGTTTTATCCTTTTGGATAAAACGCGGATATGACTTAAAAAAGGCTGAAAAAGTTTTTTGAACCATATCCGCGTTTTATCCTTTTGGATACCATTTTGGATAAAACGCGGATATGGCTTAAAAAGGGCTGAAAAAGTTTTTTGGACCATATCCGCGTTTTATCCTTTTGGATACCATTTTGGATAAAACGCGGATATGGCTTAAAAAGGGCTGAAAAACGTTTTTTGGACCATATCCGCGTTTTATCCTTTTGGATACCATTTTGGATAAAACGCGGATATGGCTTAAAAAAGGCTGAAAACGTTTTTTGGAAGCCATCCGTCCGTCCGTCCGTCCGCCACTCATCCGTCCGTCCGCCATCCATCCGTCCGTCCGTATCCGCGTTTTATCCTAACCCCGGGCAGAACACGAATATATGAATATGCACCCCCAATAATCGGTCTAGCTACGGCCCTGACCAAGTTTAATCGGAATGTTGCCCCGGCTGGGAGGATTTTTACCGAAGGGTTTCAGGGTGGGGGAATTTAACATAGCCGCATCCGAAATTCGTCAAGGAAAAACGCTCACTGTGTGGTAAGGTTTGATTTCTGAATACGTAGCTGATATTTAAGACAATTTCTGCATTTTTTGCTGCAACTCTAAGGCGGTTTAAGGAAAATCTATTACAAAAACGTTATGAATAGGTAAACAATGTTGAATGCCAATGTTTATGCAGCTGAAAATATTATGCTCTATATAATAATCCTCTGGTTAGCGTCTCACGTTAACTTTTCAAGCACATTACGAGAGAAGGAATGCAATAACTGTGCGGAGGCTAGACGTTGTCCTGGAGCGTTTGCTCTTTCCATCAGGAACTCCTCTTGTCCATAATTCACCTTCATATTAGAATAAGTAATGTAAGGCAGACACTCGCCTTCGTCAAACCCAACCTGACTGAAAGGATAAATGGTGTTATTGTACACACCATCCAAAGTAAAGAATACTCCGTCGGGCCAAAGTAGGCCACAGCCAATCACAGACGGAGCTCGTACGAGGTCGAAGTTCTTGGGAAGGTCCGAAGGAAAGGACATGGTCTGACCGTCGTAGAACTCGCACGAACAATTCTCGCCAGACTTCAGGCAGTAGTAACCAAGATTCCTGGCATGCCGTCCGCACTCATTCACTTCAGTTTCAAAATAAACGCAGGGAATACCAGAAAATAAGTCTACACAAAGAAAACACTTCAGAAGTAAAATACTGGAATCAAACTTGCATGCTTAGGATCAAATCATTATACAGTAACTCCGAATATTGTAATAGTTAATCTTTTCTAAGATCTGTATCATTACTAAGGACCGCTCATTTTTCATACCCGGGATTGGTATACCGAAAAGAAACTAAATACAGTGGAACATTTTTATTTACCCAACCTTAAGGACTTGAAAATGATTTTTACCCAACCATCAAGTCTTCTTGCACCAACACTATCTATCTAATACACGAATATACACATTTATACATCATTATTCAGCTCACACCCTATCGAGGCTTTTCAGTGACCGATTGCATCAAGCATTATACGCTTACTTATATTACCCACTTGGTCTAGACTATTTATTTTTACAACGTGATATTATTTCCCTAACTATGTTTATCCTAACCCACCCTGCCAACTTTCCCTGTGGGAGAAAATCGGAGCGCCCGGAGAAAACCCACTACGTTCGGCAGAGCGTTGACAGACTCTTCTCACATGAGTCCGTAGCGAGAATGATCCCATGATCTCAGAGGTAAAAAGCGCTCGCTCTGATGACTACGCCAAGTCGAAAACGCTCTTAAATACATGTTGTTACTGTTGGTTTGAAATGCTTACTTAAAATTAGTTCATTGTCCTTCATAAATAGTTCATTATGTTTTAGTTAATAATTTTGTTAATTTGATTGATACCAGGACGGAAACGGCTATACCATATGTTCCTAATAGACTAGATAGCGTGAGTTAGTAAAGTTGTGACTGCGTCAGAGTAAGGACGTGTAATTGCTACAAGCTATTTAAAAAAGGGATATTTCTACGTATTTGTACGAAGAACTGCTATTGAATTCATCGCTACTCGTTTGGTACAAGTGTAAACCAAAGTACGTAAGTTTACAGTATTGTATGTGCTTGTTAGTTTTGCTAGTCAATGACATTTGTGTGTTAGTTTTCGCATGCATTAAGTAACATAGTTAAGTAGTTTATTTTATTGTCATGTTTCAGTTCGAACCTACAATTCATGCTACAATTTACGCTACAATTTGTGCTACAACTTATCTACAATTTATCCTACAAATCTACGACTGCGCCTAACCTACAAGTCCCACATCGTGTTTATTCTACAATTTGCTACCCGTATTGAATTTCTACTTGGCTACAATACGTTGCGTGACTTCTACAAAGGCCATTTTGTTGAATACTAAATTTGTTAACCATTGTACACCGATTTGCTATTTGTCGAGTTCGAATATTCATTTGTACCTATATCAACCATTCAACCCCCTGTGACTCTTGTATTTGGCAAACAGGAGTTACAGTTACTATATCCTGTAATATTTGGTAGTCGGGAATACACTATACTTATTTGATTCCTAAACATGTAAATAGTTATGTTATGGCAATCACTCGCCTTCGTACAAAGGCGCTTTGGTGTGCTACGCCGTCGCGTGACGCGAGCGTGGAAATTGCAGCTCACATCCCACGCGTGTCGTCCAGCGCTATCTTCACGCACCAGCGTAGCAATTGAAAGCGGCTAGGTACAAGGTAGCTAATCACTTGCCTGGTGTGTTACTAGAGGATGCAGGTGACCAGAACGGTGATAGGGGAGTAACAGGTGTAAAGGGAGTAGAAGGTGTAAAGGGAGTAGAAGGTGTGGAGGAAGCCCATGACATTGGTGTTAATGGTGTAGAAGGACGTTCAGCTCTGTAACTTGAAGATGGTGTCGATAACTTTCTTGTTACCTCAGTTTGACCAGCTCTACTGTTTTCATTACCATGGAGGGAAGGTTCACTGCTACTGCATCGCTGCAGTCGCGTTATTTCTAAAAAAATAAGTTGTTAAACGTATTCAACTGCTTTTATGATAAAAGCAAAGATTACCTAGATCCCAACTTTGGGGGGGAGCACGCATCCCACGGGGACCAAAAAAAGCGTAACCACCGACTATGTTTACTAAAATTTCCACAGAGGAAGCGTAAGCCAGTGAGCTTCATATATATCTGGAGCGGGAACTCCAAGAGACAGTAGAGACGGAAGCTTAACAGAAGGTTTACAGCATATGGACTTACGAATATTCTTCACATCTTCGACACTTTCCTCGTCTTCCTCAGCTATACTTTCAAAGCTTCCCTTTGTATAGGACTTTGAACGAGGCCGTTTGAGGAAGGATTTCTTTTCCAACACATCACCGACTGCGATATAGCCTTCTGGCATGTTATACCTAGAGCAGAAGGAAAGACGTCAGAGAACCCTAACTGCATGGCACGTTTATTCACGAGCGATTTTCCTAGTGGGAAACGTATTCTTATGATGAAAAGAAGAGCTCAGCATGCTTTAAATAGAGGCATTCACACAAATATATACAACTGTCACGGTCAATAAAACTTTGGCTGTATTTAAAGCACGTTGGGGTCATAATTTCATGGGATGTTTATCACATAGTAAGTTCGCGGTGAGGTCATGAGCACATAAATGGTTTGTAATACATAATTTAAACTTATACCCATGGGTGCTGACTTTCCAGAGGTGCGCTGTATACAGACTAGCGCCTGTATTCTAAAAGCTCACTCACACTCAGAGAGTGGAGGTTAAATCAGAACTTCCCTTGCGTGTCAGTATTGTTGTTGAATAGCTGGAGGGTGAGTAGTTCCATAATAAGGTACGAGACTAACCTTCCAGCTACATGTATTCAAAAACAGCACTGATACTCAAGGAAAGCTCAGATTGAACCTCCACTCTTCGAGTGCGAGACGGATCTACCATCCCACCTGCCAATTCAAGGTCCCGTGCGCAGGCTACGATGGTAGTATTTTCGATTGGCACAAGACGGGATTCCAATAAGGGTGCACACCACTCCGCGCCTTTTCAAATACGTCTTTTAAGAAAATGAATTGGATTCTTACTCATTTATAAACAAATGCTTCGGTCGAGATGGATTTCCACAAAACATGGTTCTGTTATATTCTTCAAAAAACTCGTACCCGGGTTCTCAATCTTCGCTGCTACTTCGCTTGAATTGAGACCCTGGTATCGGCTGGTCACGTGACCCGTCATATTTTGGCGGATTTGCTCAATCGTTTTAGGGAAAGTATAGTAAGTAGATATTGTAGTAAATATTAATATTGTTAAAATAACATTACAAAACAAAATCTGTCAGTTACTATCCTTTATCCGCCAAAATATGACGGGTCACGTGACCAACCGATACCAGGGTCTCAATTCAAGCGAAGTAGGAGCGAAGATTGAGAACCTGGGTACGAGGTTGATTCTTCAAATCCGAGAGCGGTGCACGGAATTTCAGGCCCGAGCATTTACTTCCAGTTGGAAGAGTGGAGCACTGGAAATGATTCCTCGGACTTAAAATTCATCCAGTCCCCATTTGAGGTTTCAAAATTACATTCCGTACTCATAAAGCATTACTTAAAGTGAAGTGAATTAATTGATCCAGTCCTAGGAATGATCAATAATATACTTCAGCGAGTATACAATATCTCCTTGTGAGCAAAATAACGCTACATATATGGTTGGCTAATTTCCTCATTACTTATACGTTCGAGACATTGTCTGTGTTGAAAGTTGAAGCTATAAGCGACAATTACCTGAATAGTCTATCAACACCAAAATTAAAACTGCAATGTTGATCCATTGCCAAAGAAACAGCAGGGTAGTAGTCCAGTTCAGGATTCATATTTTCAAACGCAACTCCAAGATCCACGCCGTTTAACCAAAACGATACATCGCCATCCCATGAGAATAAACAGCTGACAATGTCATTCGCTGTCCACGCTTCTCCATAATCATTGTTCACTGTTCGGCATGCTGAGCCATTCCACACCTTGAGCCGCGCACCATCAAATGCACATGAATGTACATCATCACCAACGCCAATACCCTTCTCTGGACTGTATTCGCATTTACTTCTACGCCAACCTAAGATAATTATTGAAACCATTTTAGGTTGTTGCATTAGCCTTTCTTAAAAATACCACCCCTTTTATGTGTGCTGGCTTGCCTAAAAATAGCATTCTGATGGTTTCGTTCCAAATCATCTTTGGCAGAGAAAAATTGTAACCAACGTAGAATGGAATTTCGTAGGCTCTGCAAGTATGTGGACTCTTCTTATGGGCTGTTTATATGGGGCGAGCCAGCCCAGGTACCCGAGCTGGCCCGGTGGTTTCGGCGAGATCCCGCCTTTGTTATTATTTCCTACTAAATTTCATTTTGCGTTTACATGGGAACCGAACTGGCCCGCCTAAGCGAGATCCTGCCTCGACTGAAATCTTGGGTGACCGGGCTGGGAATTTTCCATATAAACGCAATTACCCTGGCCTCCGTAACGCAGACCGTGTTTCGCTCCCATTACCCGGGCTGGCTCGCCTAAGCGGGATGAGTGTCATTGCTCTGTTTCACGCGAATATACTGTTATAAATAAGATTTTCTCGATATATTTCGATCTTAAAAGGCCTCTGGGAACGATTCTGTGGGTTATAACCGTCAAAGTTGCTCGCGATAATTTGCGTTCGAAGTTCGATCTGAAACAAAAAAACATCTACTAAGGGGGTGTTTGTCCAGGTACCCGAGCCAGCTGAGTAGCTGCCGAGACCAATTTTACCCCGTGTTTACATGAGACTTTTGAGGCGGGCAAACTCACCAAAACAAACCACTGGTCTAGCTCACCGCTATAAATAATATAATATTAATATATTTTCTCACGAACCTGAAATTCGCACTATATACTTTTCAGCCTATAAAACCACGAGCAGTTGCAATCGAACCTGCGATGTCGGTGCAGCGCTCTAGCCAACTGAGCTACAGAGAGTCCCATTGACGAGCATTAACCACAAATTCATGTATATGTAATGGGTTGTGTAGTGGTTTTTTGAGGTAAAACAAAAAACTATATTACGCTCTATCTATATGGTATTGAGCACTGTTTGTGTTTCGTAAACCAAAATCTTAAGCTATAATATATATATATATATATATATATATATATATATATATATATATATATATATATATATATATATATATATATATATATATATATATATATATATATATATATATATATATATATATATATATATATATATATATATATATATATATATATATATATATATATATATATATATATATATATATATATATATATATATATATATATATATATATATATATATATATATATATATATATATATATATATATATATATATATATATATATATATAATTTGCTTTGCTTTAGGTTTAACCGAATTGTATAGCCTGTGCAGCAGGCGTTTATTTCTCTCGCTGCCCGCAAGCAAATAGAGAGCTTAAGATATGCTAAATCTATACTACGCGAACGTGACAATAACACATGTTAAATTCAACACGGGTAAAAACTATGGATACTATGGATTTTTTTTGCTCACAAAGACGGATACAGGCGAAAAACAAACTTAAACTGGTAACAAATCCAAAAGCAAAATGTGATAACTGTTTTTTTTGTCACGTCCGCGACTACGCAGGCTAACCTAAAAATTAGGATAAATAGTTTGAAATGGTTTTTATTACATTCAAAGACACTTTATATATTAAGCAAATACTGTCTTATCTCGTCCTCTAATGGATCAGTGTCATTTTATTACATTCAAAGACAGTTTATTACTTGCTAACAACAACATCAACAACAATTACAAAACCTAGTGTTGTCCGATTACGTCCTCAAATGGTAAAAATACCATTTTCTAGAATTTCGAAATATTCTGGAGGGACTACATAACTGGTTCAGATCACTGATCTGTACTAAGACTGGATAACGCATCTATAGTATACGAAAGTGAAGCCGGAAGTCACCGGACGCCACCGGACGCCACCCGATTCAAGGGTCCCACTTTTGTATAGATTTGTATTACAGATGGCAGTTTTTCGCGTCTTTCGCCTTGGCTACGTTTCTGACCGCGCCAGTTTTACAATCACAAAAATAGAAGCATACAAGAAGAATTTTGAGCAAAAAATTTGGAGTATTATGGCTTTATAACGCCACAAAACGGGATTTACAATTTTGAAGGAGTGGAGGGCCTCAAACTTTGTTTATCAACACGAGCTCGTTTTGCTACTTTCATACAAATCAACTCAAAGTATACAAGAATTACTGTTACTGGACGAATATTCTCAGGAAATTTGAAGAAATGAAGCAGCTACATTGTGAACGAAAGCGTACAGAGGTTAGTTTTAAAATACCTTGACGTTAATTTTATAATTATATGAATTAAAATAACATATTGAGTCATTGTTAATTTGGATTAAAAAATATTTGATTGTCACTTGTCTTCCTACTTTAAAACATATAAAAATTCTCGACAAGTCGAGGGAATGCTCGTGTTGATAAACAAAGTCTGAGGCTCTCCACTCCTTCAACATTGTTAATCCCGTTCCGCGGCGTTATAAAGGCCTGATTCCACGGGCGCTTTTTCTCGGCGAAATGCGAAATATTTCGCCTGTTTCTTTTGAATTGTGGGCAATCAAGTAGAAATAATTTATTCGAGTGGTCGCAATTCAAAAGAAACAGGCGAAATATTTCACATTTCGCCGAGAAAAAGCGCCCGTGAAATCAGGCCTTAAAGCCATAATACTCCAAATTTTTTTCTCAAAATTCTTCTTGTATGCTTCTATCTATTCTTTGTGATTGTAAAACTGGCGCAGTCAGAAATGTAGCCAAGGCGAAAAACGCGAAAAACTACCATCTGTAATACAAATCAAAGAAAAGTGGGACCCTTGAATCGGGTGGCGGCCGGTGACTTTCGGCTTCACTTTCGTATACTATAGATGCGTTATCCAGTCTTAGTAAAGATCAGTGGTTCAGATACAGTGTGCACATCTTAGAGATCCATATATATCTGAAGTAAAAACTCGCGTCCAAAAAGTGAAGCCAAAAATGGCGAAAATGAACGTCCACTGCTAGGACTTTACAGTGTAACTCTGCACGGTTAACACGAGGCTGCAAGGAGTGTATCAAACTTCGACTTAAAAACTGGAATTAGCTGGGAGAAATGATACGTAAATTCTTTACGACCTTATAGATTTTGGACGTCAATTTCCGCCATCTTGGCTTCACTTTACTCGATCATGGTTCGATCGATGATTCCCCTTATTACGTTTTCGTAGCGCTTTGCATTGTGGTTATAGTGGTATCACTGATAAAGATAGCGGCCTCGAATGAAAATATTGAATGTTTTCGCGAATATTTTGCTTTGGGTCAGGACAAAAAATAAGCCATCTTGAATATCATTGATACCACTATAACCCCAATGCAAAGCGCTACGAAAACGTAATAAAGGGAATCGTCAATTAATGACTAAAGTCTTTACTCCAGATATATACTGGTGCACATTTTCACATTCTGCTTTTTAATCCATATACTGTACCAATACACGCTTCCGGAAAGAACGTCATCTTGACCACTGACAGGGCCTCGTTTTCGTGATTGACACTTTTTTAGCTAATGTCGCGCAGAGTTGCAAAAACACGAGTGTTCCACCTTCCCCCGGGTAAAATTTCAAGTTTTCAAACTTTTCTCAAAATAATTTAAATTATGGCTTTTTCAAATATATATTATGTTATTCAAAATCCGCTTATTATTTATATTTCACACTGGCTAGTATTTAGCATTGATCAGCTGGTTAATTGCATTGTACTGACATACACATAAAAAGTGCAGGCTAGCGACTACTAGCATATGTATATGTTACGATTGCTATTAGGGGTGCACCGGATTTAACGAATTTTCCGGCATCCGGCCGGATTTGGAGAAAATCCGGCCGGACTTAAATTTCTGTTTTCACCTTAAAAAATTCACCAAGAATTGGATAAACCATCAATCAGCAGCTTTAAAGTTTAAAAAACACATATTATTATAAAATTTTAAGTTATTAACAAAAAGATATTTTAAAAAACCTTTAAACACAATCAAAAATCTACACTGACACTAACTAAAAATAGTAAAAAACATAAACCGCCATTTTGAATACCGATTTATCCCCAATTGTCCCCATTACCGGTTTATCTCAAATCCGGCAAATCCGGCTGGAATTCCGGCCGCAATTTTTGTCCAAATCCGGTTCCGGCCGGATTTGAAAATTCCAAATCCGGTGCACTCCTAATTGCTATACCGAAACGCCATGCCCAGAAAGCTGCTATTGCATGCAGCATTAGGAAACGTTGTACTGCATATTAACTATCTTTTGTAGCAAGCGTAACCTTAGCCCGCGTGCAGGCCCAAGTGAAGAATAGTGGGCCTGCAAGCAAGGCCCGGTATTTTGTACTTTCCGCGTTCGCCCAAGAACGCGGCATTCTGATTGGCTGTTTGCTGTTGGATTCTATAATTAGATCACTGATTCATCACAAAGGCTCTCGATCAGCTTAAAATTTGAAAATTTATCACTTTTTTCGATTAAAAATGGAACAAGAACAGACTGTTTATTGTTTACTTGAAGAGATGTTTTTGCCGTTATGCCAAGGGGGATTGCTGTCGTGAAGTGTTGGAATAGCAACATTACGACTGGGGTAAACTATAGTATTATAAACCTTTACTTGAGTTTACATTGATTTCAAACAGACTTGATACGTTATATGTTCCTCAAGAAATTATCTTTTGATTGATGTTGACTCTGTTCTTGCACTGAAGAAAACAGCGCTTTTCGTGGTGAAGATTTAGAGGCAGTTCCATGTAAGCCTATTCGAAACACTTTGCGATTTGCAAGGCTTCGCTGAGAGAGCGAAACAGAAGACGGTATTAAATGCCGTTTGAAACGAAACGATCTGGACTCTGAACCCTCTCTTCTTTTGTAGAGTTCTTTACCAAATGAAATAACTGAAATAAATGACGTACTTTCCGCCGCCAACAAGAATTACACACACGATCTGATAAGTGAGACAATTTATTTATAACAACGGCGACAGCGAAGCACACATTTAAATGCTAATGTGTTCGCACGACTTCCCTCACGATTTGAAGTTTGAGACTGCTTTTCTGTTGAAATTCGTCCTAATTTGCCTGTTCCGATTTCAGTTGAAAATTAGCGCTTGTAAATTTGGCAATTACTGACTGCATTGCTTGCTTTTTTGGAGTTAAAACACAGCCATTTACACATTGCTTCTATTTTGAATATTAAAGCAGAGAAAACCCCGCAACATTTTAATGCGAGTTTGTTTGTTAATATTTGGGTTGCTGTCATTGGTTCTTTGTTGACAATTGACGCGCGAATGGGGCGTGTTATGAAAAGGGGCGTTTTACAAAATACCGAGCCTTGCTTGCAGGCCCACTATTCTTTCCTTGGGCCTGCACGCGGGCTAGCGTAACCTTAACCGGCCTGGTCAAGTATTATTTATTTGTTTCATGGTGTTAGTGTTGAGTAGAGTGTTCCACATTAAACCTTCCTCACTGACCTCACATATGGTAAACCTTCCTCACAGGTGGTACCAGTACACCCGCAGTTTTTTTGAAACTCTGATGTCGCGTACACGAATATGAGGCTCTATAGCCAAAGTGACATACTTTGCGGAAGGTGTATTAAGGCCCGTTTACACTTGCAATTTTTGCTGCAATTTCTAGTGCGATTTTCTTCGCCGGTCTGATGGATGTGAACGAGTAAATAAGTTATGAATGCTCTGAGTATTATATTCATTTCAATGCCCTCATCTAAACATTCCTAACTCATCCACTCGTTCACATACATCAGGAGAAGAAAATCGCATCTAAAATCGCAGCAAAAATTGCAAGTATAAACGGGCCTTTATGCATATATATATATATATATATATATATATATATATATATATATATATATATATATATATATATATATATATATATATATATATATATATATATATATATACAAAAACAGTGCAGCACGGATACAGTATATCAAACTTATCTTACGGTTGTACAGCCACAAGATTGTTTCGATATTTAGGTGAAAACCCATTATCATAATTCTCCATCTTTATGTCTTTTTTTCATCTGTACATAAACCACTCTCATCAACTATTGAGCACTTTCCATGCGACTGTATTATATAATATGCAGCTTCTTCAGTATCTACATTGTCATTGTGGATAACCATGTGATCTTCAAGTTCTTTCAGATTACCGCAGCCACAGCCACAGAGAGAACAGACGTAACCAGTACCTGACGGTTCATTTGATTCTATGTCTTGGCAAGAATCACATTGATAGGAAACGTTGTTACCGTGGTCATCTGATTTCAGTTGTGCTAATTTGAATCGCATATTAATATTTTCTTGCAGCTCTTGTGATCTGGAAATTTCCCTTCCACAAGTTTTGCATAAAATTGGGGCATCTTTAAGGTGTCCGATCAGGTGAAACTGAAGATTTTCTCTAAATGTAAATCTCAAATTGCAAGTATCACATCCATATGGTTTGCATCCTGAACGCGTTTTTTCATGTCTTTTTAAGCTAGCAGATTGTGAAAATTGTTTCTTACAAATATCACATTTATAAGGTTTTTCTTCAGTATTTGTTCCACGTTTTGCTGAACAGCTTGCTTTCTTATGTCTATTAAGAGCAACTAATCGGGAAAAACTGGCTTTGCAAACACCACATTGGTAGGGTTTGTCTGCTGTGTCTGTCTTTTGATGTTCAACTGGTGCTTTCTGGGACACACTAGATTGGTCTGGCACTACACATCCACTTCTGGAAACCTCACATTTATCAGATTTGCTGCGAGTGTGAGTTCTTCTATGTTTGTTCAAAGAATCTGAGTATATAAATTTTTTCTTGCAAACACCACATTCATAAAGTTTAATGGGTGTTTTTTCAGATGCATCTAATGGTTTAGGTAATATAAATTTCGGTTGGGAAATTTCATCTTCCTGTACTTTGTGGCTTTTCTTGTGTTTTATTAAATAGCATGATTGTGCATATCTTTTGCCACAAACATCACATTCAAAAGGCTTTTCCCCAGTGTGTTTTACTCTATGTTTTGCTGAACATCTTACGCTCTTGTGCCTGCTAAAAGCAAGTAATTGAGAAAAACTGGCCTTACAAACATCACACTGATAAGACTTGTTTGTTGTATCTGTTGTGTATCCTGTAATGGGAACATAAGGTGATTCACAAGGTTTCACAGGTGTTTCTTGCAATGCACTAGATTCATGAGTATTGTCACCAGTGTGAGTCTTTTTATGCTTACTTAAAGAATCTGAGTAAATAAATTTTTTGTTGCAAGCATCACATTCATACAGCTTAATTGGTGTTTTCTCAGACACACTTAATGGCTTTGGCAATATAAATCTTGGTTGGGAAATTTCATATTCCTCTGCTTTGATTCCATGGTGACACTTCTTGTGTTTTATTAAATAGCTCGACTGTGAAAATTCTTTCTTGCAAAAATCACATTCATAAGGTCTGGTATGTGTTCTTTTATGATGTAATAAATTGCTTGGATCTGTGAATATTTTCTTGCAAACATCACACTCATAAGGATTGGTGTGTGTTCTTCTATGCCTACTTAATGAACCAGAATGAGAGAATTTTTTCTTGCAAGCATCACATTCATAAGGTTTTTCACCAGTATGTGTTGTTTTATGGTCAAGCAAATACTTGGTTTTTGAAAATCCCCTCTGGCAAACATCACATTTATAAGGATTTGTATGTGTTCTCTTGTGATGTAAGAAATTGCTTGGATCAGCAAATCTTTTTTTGCACACATCACATTCATGAGGTTTGTTGCCAGTGTGAATCGTTTTATGTTTCCCCAAAGCAACCGAGTCCAGAAATCCTTTCTTACAAACATCACATTCATAAGGCTTATCTCCGGTATGTGTTCTCTTATGCTTTTCTAAATACTGTGAGTGTGAAAACTTTTTATTGCAAACATCGCATTCGTAAGGCTTGGTATGTGTTCTTTCATGTTGCCTTAAATTGCTTACATCACTAAATCGCCTTTTACAAACATCGCATTCATGAGGTCTTTCACCAGTATGTATTCTCTTATGCTTCTTCACTAATATTAAGCTGAAAAATCTTTTCTTGCAAACATCACATTCAAACGGTCTCTCACCAGTGTGTGTTCGCCTATGTCTGACTAAATAACTCGCCTCTGAAAACCTTTTCTTGCACACCTCACATTCGTAAGGTTTAGTATGCGATTTTTTATGGCGCCGTAAATTGCTTCCGTCTGTGAACCTTTTTTCGCAAACATCACATCCGTAAGGCTTGTCCCCACTATGTGTTCTTTTATGTCTAAGTAAGAGTTTCGATTCAGCAAATCTTTTGTTACAAACATCACATCTATAAGGTTTGCTATGTACCCTTTTATGACGTGCTAAATTGCTTTCATGTGTAAACCTTTTTTTGCAAACACCACATTCAAAAGGTTGCTCTCCTGTGTGTGTTCTTGCATGTCTTAATAAATAGGATGCTTGTGCAAATCTTTTCTTACAAACATCACATTCAAACGGTTTTTCCTCAGGTTCATTTTCAATGTGTACTTTTTCAGTCGCTGCTAAACTGCCTGATTCTGTAAAACGTTCCTGGCAAACTTTACATTCGTCTTCATTTTGTGTTTCTTCATCATGAACTACCGACGATTTTTCCATTGCACATCTGTTTTGATAGTATTTAGATATAATGCCACCAGAATGAAATTCTATATAATTATTTTAGAATGTTAGGGTTTGTAATCCAAGTGAGAATGGGCCGTTCCACAAAAGATCCATACCCCCACGGAGGAAATTGTTGCTGTTCGAAGGGGGAGGGAGGAAAAATGTCTTAGGATGTCCGAAGGGGGGAGAGGAAAAATGTGTTAGGATGTCCGAAGGGGGGGGTGGGGGGAAAGGAATGTGGATATGTTTGTCTGAAGGTTTGAGACTGTGATAAAGCTATGTGATCGGCGATTATAATGAGCACGCAATTTTTATCGGCTATATGTAGCTCTTGAACACCGGAACGTTTATGTAACAGCAATAATTATACGTCCACGTAACTCGTAAGGAAAATAAGCGGCCCACTTTTGCATGCATGTCCACCAAAAACTAACTCGCTGTAACAGCGTATCCTGCATGTTGAGAATGAGTCGATAATTGACATTGGCTTTATTTAATATATAAAAGTAAAGTTTTGCAGTTTTCGTTCGTATATATAAGTTTGAATTATTCAAGTGTTAAAAATAATAGTTATTAAGCTGTTGCTAGAATTAAGAGGCTGCTATGTGAACTGAACTCAAAACAATCTGTTTTAGTATATGGTGAAGCTTCCTTGCGAGGTGCGTGTCTAGAAAATAGAAATGGCTTTCATATTAAGGGCGAGGTTAAGGAATGCAGTAATACTAAAAAATGCATTAACATGTAAGTAAACATAGCAACCAGTGCTCTCACTTTTAAGGAATTATCCTTAAAAATAGGAATTTTGAAGAGTTTTAAGGATTTTTTTAAGGAATTTAGGTTTTTGAGGATTTTTTTAAGGAATTTCCAAAACATTTTATCCTGGACTAAAAACGTTTTGACGGAGAATAACCACGCCACGCAAATGAGATTTAAACTTGAAAGTAGCAACATTATATGCACATAATTACATTATATTCGTATGTTCTCTATATCGTAAATGTACATATGGCTGTCTTTCCATTAAAATTCTCAAAAGTTAGATGTCAGTGTATGCTGTTTCTTCTGAAATCTGCTGATTTTCTAAGTTCTCAGGGCCCTAACGACCGGGGGAGGGGAGAGGGAGGGCGCAACACCCCTAATATTGCTCATGAACAATTTCAGGTAGATATCCTGTAGATTTTCAGGTAAATTCAGGTAATTCTCAGGGCATAAAAAAGTGAACTCTCTAATCTGAATTGGAGTTAACAATCAAACAAACTAAAGACGTTGAGACGTGTTGTGGCAGGGAGACAATTGCGAAATACCCTTTCTGACGATCTGGAGACTCCAAATTTCCAAAATATTCTCGATTTCCCATTATAAACTGAAAGTAGCAATACTTATCTTCATTGTTAGGCAATACTAAAATATTGGGTAGAAAAGACTCTAAAAATGCCATTTCCGACGGTCTAGAAACTTCAAATTTTCAAAAAATACGGTTTTAAAGAACGTTCAGTTCGAAAAATTCAGGTAAATCAGGTGGAGAAAAAAAACACTTTTTGCAACTCTGTGATCAGGCCTTGTAGTAATTTTACCAATTTAAGGAATTTTAAGGAAATCTGAGGAATTTTCGAGCTTTTTCTAAGGAATTCGAAAATTTGATTGTGAGAGCACTGATAGCAACGCTTGTCAATCAGTCGCAAGTTAATATATCGAATTTCAGTCCGAATTTTAGTTGAACGAATTTCGAAGTGAATTTCTGCAAATTATCCGACAAAACCTGCCACGTGTTTGTGTTCGCAAGTCACAAGTGTTCCGCCACGCCGCAGCCATTTGAAAACAGCGTAGAAAAGTCACAATAAGCCATCGCTAATTGACTCTACGCTGGAGCGAAATCGTTTGAAAACTTTCACGTCACTTTTGCCGTAACAATTTGAGCACGGTTTCTAAACGGAGCGATGTGAAAACGGCGGAGCGCTTGACAGCTTCGTGTGAACACAAACGTGTAAATTCGAATGCTTTTCAGTTTAATTTCTTGGGTCTATTTGAAATATTTTGGGTTTACACGAGTGCTAATTCAATTTGTAAACAAACTGTAATGGCGGTAGTGTGAACACACGTAAATTCTGCCCGCATTAGTTCGCTCGCGCGTAGTGTGAACGTAGTCTAATTTTCGGTGACGTTTTCAAACGGCGAGATAGCCTTTAGAAAAATTTCGAAATAGTGGATGTCCGAAGGGGAGAGGGGTAATTTTGGGCTTTGATGTCCGGAGAGGGGGGGAGGATGAACCATTCAAGGATGTCCGAAGGGGGGGAGGGGGTTATTTTCGATTGGGGGGGGGGGGGGGTATGGATCTTTTCTGGAATGACCCAATATATACATTTTAAGACCTAACCAGGAACGACTGCGAAAAATGCAGCATAAGGTTCTCTGGTAGGAATTGAACCTAAGGCCCTGCGATTCCAGTGCAGCGATCTAACCAACTGAGCTACAGAGGCCAGCTGTTGAGCTGTAACCGTAAGTTCATGCATATATAGGTAATCGGGTGTGCGGGTTGTGATAAGGTGGACTTCAATAATTTGGATTCTTGCACTTCACTTGGTGGAATTAATTTTAGAATGTTAGGGTTTGTAATCCAAGTGATTATATACATTTTAAGACCTAACCAGGAACGACTGTGAAAAATGCAGCACAAAGTCCTCTGGTAGGAATTGAACCTACGGCTCTGCGATTCCAGTGCAGTGCTCTAACCGAGCTACAGAGGCTAGCTGTTGAGCTGTAACCGTAAGTTCATGTATATATATATATAGGTAATCAGGTGTGCGGGTTGTGATAAGGTGGACTTCAATGATTTGGATTCTTGCACTTCACTTGGTGGAATTAATATTAGCATGTTAGGGTTTGTAATCCAAGTGAGATTATATACATTTTAAGACCTAACCAGGAACGACTGTGAAAAATGCAGCACAAGGTCCTCAGGTAGGAATTGAACCTACGGCCCTGTGATTCCGGTGCAGCGCTCTAACCAACTGAGCTACAGAGGCTAGCTGTTGAGCTGTAACCGTACGTTCATGTATATATAGGTAATCGGTTGTGCGGGTTGTGATAAGGTGGACTTCAATGATTTGGATTCTTGCACTTCACTTGGTGGAATTAATATTAGAATGTTAGGGTTTGTAATCCAAGTGAGAATATATACATTTTAAGACCTAACCAGGAATGACTGTGAAAAATGCAGCACAAGGTCCTCAGGTAGGAATTGAACCTACTGCCCTGCGATTCCGGTGCAGCGCTCTAACCAACTGAGCTACAGAGGCTAGCTGTTGAGCTGTAACCGTAAGTTCATGTATATATAGGTAATCGGGTGTGCGGGTTGTGATAAGGTGGACTTCAATGATTTGGATTCTTGCACTTCACTTGGTGGAATTAATATTAGAATGTTAGGGTTTGTAATCCAAGTGAGAATATATACATTTTAAGACCTAACCAGGAATGACTGCGAAAAATGCAGCAGAAGGTCCTCTGGTAGGAATTAAAAATGGTCTCTTAAAAATGGTTAGGTCTTAAAATGTATATATTCTCACTTGGATTACAAATCTTAACATTCTAATATATAATTATTTAACTATCTTCCCACTCAGGCACTCACCAGAACTGTCATACAAATCAACTTAATTCGCCAAGGAAAATGCCAGTTAGACGCAAGTTACCTCCTTCTGGCCAGCTACGGACGCTCTTCTACTTTTCCCTTCGATTATATTATATCTCCACTTTGAAATTTTGTTAAATTTCGTTGCTTTTCAGCTGTAAATGGTGGTGATATCGTCTGTGATATCGTTAAACAATTTTCGTTCCGCCTGACAATTATTGGGCGAACAGCTGACGGGCTTTGCGGGATATCGATGTTTCCACTTTATCGCGGGACATTTCTGTGACAATTTCAAATATATTTTTCAAAAAATCTACGGGGTATAATATAAACCAGACGGTAGTAAATTGCGGTAATAATTTCTTTGTATTTTCCTTGCTTTTACTAATTAGCAAATACCCTTACAGGAGGTCCTTACATTCGTGATTCGTCAGGGATATAGACACATGCCTCGCTGACCTCGGAATGACATTTCGTCAAAACTTTTTTCTTCAAGATTGGTTTAGAAACAAACTTGGAGTAGGGTTAGGTTAGGGGTTAGGATTAGAGTTGGTGTTTGGAATAGGGTTAGTGTTAGTAAAACCGTTGCTTTGTTACGTTTTGTCACTGTGAGGCTAGCGAAATAAAAATTCATTGTTCTATATATTACTGTATGCATGGGGGTAGCGTGGAAGTCTAAATACATTTTCACATAATAAACTTTATTCGAACTAGCGTAGGGTAAAATTGTTCGGGCCCCACCAAAAGGTTTTTTCGGCAACCCTTCACGGCTACGTCAGTAACGTCACTGCAATCTGCCCTACAAGAAAATGATTG